GAGGAGAGCGAGTCTGAGGTCCTCGTCGGACGGGCCGAGAAGCTCATCATGCAGGTTGGCGAGGAATACAAGGCGCTCTTCATGGCCGAGTATAAGCGCCTCATGACGCTGCGCGTTGGTCTGAAGAACTTCAAGGAGAGTGATTTCGATGAACTGTTCAGCGGGCTGCTGGACACCATGGAGACCCACGAGCTGGATTTCAACCACTTTTTCCGGCGCCTCAGCTCCGTCAAACTGTCGGAGATTGCGACCGAGGATGCTCGCCGCGAGACGGCTACGCGCTTCTTCCACGCAGAGGGCGCGACAGCCGGCAGCGAGGCCAAGGGTCGGTCTGATGTCGGGAATTGGTTGGATAAGTGGCGCGCTCGCGTCGTCGAAGACTGGGGCGAAGAAGAGGGCCAGGATGCCGAGCGGGAGAAGGCCATGAAGGCCGTGAACCCCAACTTTGTGCCGCGTGGCTGGGTGCTTGACGAGATTATCAAGCGGGTTGAGAAGGATGGCGAGAGGGATGTATTGAGGAGGGTCATGCAGATGGCGCTGCATCCCTTTGAGGAGAGCTGGGACGGTCAGGACATTGACGGTCAGGAGTACAAGGGTGACAAGGCAGAGGAGGAACGGTGGGTTGGAGATGTGCCCAAGTTGAAGAGGGCTATTCAGTGCAGCTGTAGCTCTTAGGGAATCCAGGTCATAGATGCGAGTGTTCAAAGAGAATGTCGAGGGCCCAAGATCAAGAAGGGGTGTGTCAAGTGTTGAAGCGCTGCCACTGGTTCATATACGTTCATGATTGCCATCCCCAGACGTTAAAACGACATTTATCTGAACCTTGTTTCGGCAATCACCATGACATACAGGTCGAATTGATCAAAGCCACGGAAACGAAGAACTGGGAACTCTAACAAACATTTCCTCTCATAAGGGAATGGGAAACACCAACTCTATCGTTCTGCGCGATCTGAGGTACTTCCTCCATCATACCGGTTAATTTGCTCTCTGGAAACGTTCTAAGGTCTCCAGCAACTTCTCATCGCGAAGAAGACCATCCGTTAGAATGTTAATCATATCTATCAAAAAATCTGTCTTATTTCCGTTGCTTGGGACACACGTTCCGCCAGTTTGCGATGTGTGGCCAATTCATCCAGAACCCTTGATTCGGTTGTCTTCCGCCGTCGCAGCGCTGCTGATTGATGAATACATACTCCTTGAGATCGTTGGTAGTACGACCCGCGTCGGGGAGCCACAAGATTGTTTTTGTTATTTGCATCACTATGCGTGGTATTGACAAGTACAAAATTTGTATACAGTGTGTGGAGGCTAGGTGCGTAACAAGTAGAGTTGAAAGGTTGTACGATCACCTTCATCATGACCACTGCCTTCAGATTGCCCTCGCCTGCATCTCTCAGGGTGTAATCCCAGAGAATCGACCACCTTGACTATCTACCTCAAGGGGAAAAAGGGGTTATGATGGCGGCAGTAGTACTGGTAAGAATAGTGGTGATGTTTCATTGAGCGGCAACACTCACTTGACTACCTAGTAGGTCCATAAACCTTCTTTACCAAAGGCGGCCAGTTGAAGATGACATCGACCAGGCATCACGAGACACAAAAGATATGAAGGTATTTACTTTCTTCAACTACCCACCACTCTCTACCCGCGCGTGCTATTATATACAAGCAATGCATCCATCCCAAACAAAGGAACTCTCTTTTCTTCTTCATCTTCAGCCTCCTCCCTCCACGGTCATAGTCGTACAGTCTGTCCCTCATGCTCCGTACGCAATCTGGCCCATTGGCCTGTCCTCCTCCATGCCTGGCGCCATGAAGTTGGTCTTGGGGCTGCCACTGGCCTTGGCCGCCGAGCAGCGGGCCATTGTCGGTGAACTGGATGTACATGTTAGCTATGTCTGACAGAGTTTTCGAAAACGTCTTCACACGGATAACATACCTTCTTGAGATGACGTCTGTGAAGTAGAAGTTCTCGATAACCTTCTTCAAAGGTGTACCGCTGGCCTTGGAGCCCTTGTTCTGGTCAACCAGCTGAACCTTGCTCAATTGCTGCAGAGCGACGGGCTCAACCACATCGTAGGCCGCCAGGGCCGGGCTGATCTCGGCCATTCTGTCACGAAGCTGGGCAACGTCGTTGTAAGGCAGAGGAGCACCGAGGAACTCGCTGATGGCACGGGCAATCTTCCAGTCGGTACGGGAAGCACCGGGCAGGGAGGTGGCGGCACGGGTCATCTGGACACGGCCCTCGGTGTTGATGTAGGTACCAGCCTTCTCGGTGTAGGCAGCACCGGGGAGAACAACGTCGGCAATCTGGGCACCACGGTCACCGTGGTGACCCTGGTAGACGACGAAAGCGTTCTTGGGAATGTCCTTCTCAGAGATCTCATCGGCACCAAGGAGCCAGACGAACTTGGGGGCAGTCTCAGCAACCTCAGTGGAGGGGGTGGTGAAGCCGACCTCGAAAGCACCGGCGCGGGAAGCGGCTCTCTGAAGGACGTTGTAACCGTTCCACTCAGGGGTGATGAAGTTGGCGGCGTTCTTGTCGACGAAGGCACCAATGGTCTCGTAGAAGGCCTTGGCGTCAACGTGGTCAGTGACACCAGAGCCAACAACAATCATGGGACGCTTGGCAGCCTGGAGCTTCTTGCCGAAGGGGCCGGCAAGAGCCTGCTTCAGGGCAGCGTGGTCGAGGCCAAGGTGCTCAAACTCGAAGGTTGAGTCCCAGGTCTCACCAACGACACCAATCTCGAGGTCAGAGCGAAGCCATTGCTTGCGGATACGAGCGTTGAGAACAGCGGCCTCGTGGCGGGGGTTGCTTCCGACGATGAGGATGGCATCAGCCTCCTCAATACCGTAGATCCTGGAGTTGAACAAGTAGTTGGAGCGAACGTCGATACCGTGGGCGACGGGCTTGCTTCCGTTGGGCATGTCGAGGGCCAAGTTCTCGGAGCCGAGCTTGTTGGCCAGGTCCTTCATGGCAACCAGGGACTCAACCTCGGTCAGCTCACCGGCGATAACCTTGAACTCGTTGCCCTTGGGTTGGATGTGGTGATAGGCGTTGGCGACCTCCATGAGGGCCTGCTCCCAGTCGGCGGGTTCGAACTTGCCCTCACGGCGGATCAAAGGCATGGTCAATCTCTGGGTCTTCAATCCGTCGCAGGCGAAACGAGTCTTGTCGTTAATCCATTCTTCGTTGACGTCGTCGTTGAGTCTGGGGAGGATACGCATAACCTCGAGGCCACGGGAGTCGACACGGATGTTGGATCCCAAGCCGTCAAGGACATCGATGGACTCGGAGTGCTTCAGTTCCCAAGGTCTCGCGCGGAAAGCGTAAGGCTTCGAGGTAAGAGCACCAACGGGGCACAGGTCGATAACGTTGCCGGAGAGTTCGGAGTCGAGGTTCTTCTCAAGGTAGGTACCGATCTGGATGTCGTTGCCACGTCCGAAAGAGCCCATCTCGGGGGCACCGGCAATATCGTTGGAGAAACGCACACATCTGGTGCAGTGGATACATCTGTTCATGGAGGTCTTGATGAGAGGGCCGATATTCTTGTCTTCAACGGCACGCTTGCCGCCGATTTCGTGGAAGCGGCCACGGTCGCCACCGTATCGCATCGACTGGTCCTGGAGATCACACTCACCACCCTGGTCGCAGATAGGGCAGTCCAAAGGATGGTTGGCGAGGAGGAACTCCATGACACCCTCGCGGGCCTTGTGTGTGATGGGAGAGTTGGTCTTGACGACCATACCGGGCTGGACGGGCCATGCGCAGGAGGCTACGGGTTTCGGTGCACGCTCGACTTCGACCAAGCACATACGGCAGTTACCGGCAATCGCAAGCTTTCTGTTGTATTTGTCAGTCGGGGGATCATCCCTCGCAGCGGTCATCGATTCGATCGAAAAGGGTATCGTACTCATGGTAGCAATATCTGTAGAGAAGTTAGTTAATGCCATACGAATTGTTTATTGACGACTGGACAAACCTGGGAATTGTGACGCCTGCCTTTTCGCAAGCTTGAATCAGGGCGGAGCCGGCTAGAAGATCGTGAGTAGGAATCCTCGGACACGGCCACATTGCAGCTCACCTTCGACCGACACCTTCTTTCCGTCTAAAGATCTCGTCAGCAACCTCGATAGAAACCAATTGAGCCCCTCGCGAGGGCGGGTTCGTCCTTACCAACAGTCAGTTCGACTTTGGCATTCCTGCGAGCTGTTGTAGCAAAAGTTCGCGAGGCATTGGCGGCCTGCTTGCCAGTCCGCCAAGCCGAACGTGCTAATGAATGCCGCAGCATCGTATCGCCTTGACGGATTGAGAATCTGACGAAACGGGGGAGGGCGTTTGGGTGAGAGGCGGATTGATATTCAATCGTTGACGTCGGGAGGGAACTGCTCTTCTGTCCCGGACCATGGGGATTTGGTGGCGCTAGTGCGTAAATCGCGATTAATTTACATCAACCGTGATTGGTCGACCATCCCGGGAGCTTACTTGCCGCCTGAGGCATCAATAATTCTCTCTGAGCACCATTTAGTCTGCGGAAAATTTCGTCGCAGAGCGCCTCTTTCTCTTTTTCCTCCTCACTTTAAATTGTATGGACACTTATCGTAGGTGAGCTTGAGCTTCGCAAGATGCTTGATCGAGCCTTCCTCTATCTAGTGTACCTAGATGAAGCTTTTTGACGCCGTTTATGGAAGCATGGGAGAATTCTTCAATGACCGCTGCCTCTTACCGCCGGTCGTTACATATCATAATGACGACGAGACTTAGATGTAGATAGTACGTGTGTTTTTACTAATATCTCATGATGTGTATGTACACTACTTATGTACACGCACCGCGTGGCGGATGCGCCGCCGTCCCACGCCGGAAACATCCTTATGGTAGCGATTTGGTCGGTCGGCCATCCTTCTCAGACCTCCGGCTGTCTAGCATGCCGTCCTGAGTTCTTGTTGTCTTCCTGGGACACGTTCGCCAACTGCTACTCAAGCTTTTGTCGCTTCTAGCTCCGAGCAGGTTCACCCCCCTGCCCTTGGTCGGCAGACAATGCCTTGGGTGCAGCGTTCAACATCTCTTGATAGGGCTCTTTGAGCTCTTGGGCGTGGTTGTGGTATCCGTGCAACTGACCCACGGCTTGGCCAGCATTGTAAAGAGACCATTGAAGTGCTGATGGCCTGGGAGGCATCACTTGCGGAGTCTCGGGAGGCTTGTACGTGGACAAGTGCCGGTCGTTATAATCGGCGCCGGGCGGTATCGGGGCGTGGACTGACTCCATGATGAGAGCTTCCTCGCCTTGCATGAGGCCCGCGGGCGTCTCAATGAAGCCCTTTTCCGCCTCTTCTTGTTTCGCAACCTGTAAGATTCGCTTGTGCTCTCTCTCATAAACAAAGACAAGGTTCTGCTCGACGGCGGCTGTGTGTTTTTCGAGATTCTCTTGGCAGAGCTTGATGCGCTCAATCTCGGTACGCGGAGCGTCGTAGGGATCGAAGAGGCTCTCTTCTAAAGGAACGAACATCGCCAGAGCCGGCACGGCTTGTGGGATATCCTCCTCCTCCTCCATGGTATAATCAGCAGAGGCCCCTGCCTTTTCAAGTCTCGTCGACTGATCACTTATGGCTTGCATCTTGCCCACGAGTCCGTCGCTATTATCGAAATCCGAGTGCCAGTCTGATTCTTGACCGCATCTCAGGTAGAAATCGCAGTGTCGCGACCTGATTGATTTGAGTGATATGATGGAGTGTGTAGGACGAAAGTTTGAGGTTGTGCTTCGTGGGAAGGTGGGACTAAAACTGTGAAGGTAAGCTGAGGTCCCACGCCTGTGATCGCAGTCTCAAGGTGGCTCCAAGCTTACACCCCGGTCCTACTAATTTTGGAATTTACTCGAATCTCAATGGGCACACATGAACAAGATATATTCAAGTTTCGTTGCAGAGGCCCTGTTAGCATCGCTTGTTTGCTTGTTTCTCACTTTCAAGTGAGGTCGTTGAAGTTTCCTCAACTTCGCTGGTGTACCAAGTGAAAGGTTCAGTGCGAGCCTGAGCAGGTAAGTGCGGCGGCATAGGTACGAGAGTGAAACGCCAAATTTTTGAAATTTTTGAATTTACAACTATTTGCTATTGGATATCACATTTATATGATCCGCCTGGTCCTAACTCGGGACATTCCATGAATATGTAGGTTGTTCAGTCCGTTCGGTTCCTGCCTCGTGACCCCGAAGACTTGGCCAACTGCTGCATTTGGCTCAGCATGTGTGGTTGCTTTCCCGTGTGATGGCTTTCTTTGTGATGTCCTTTGGGGGATACTTCGGATTGGCTGCCCATCTCCAAGAGGGGATTTCTTCATCGTCGCTGTTCCCTTGATAAGATCATTCCGTGTTCGATCAGAGGGGCATAGACGTTCGGGCCGTCATGGGAGCATTCGCCACTACTCCAAGACTGACTTCAAAGCGTCATTGCTGTCGAAGAAGCCTCTCAAGCGGAGCGAAGGGTAGAGAACACACTAAACAGATCGGTGTCGCTACAAGCAGCAAGTAGCAATGCTGTCGATCGAGTCAATGCTATATCAGCCTGAAAGCTTCGCCTTCTCTTGCTGCCAGCGGGAGAATTGTCATCTGGCCGGTAAGACGTTCCTCACGTACTCCCGCATCAATTTCACCCCTGCCCGGACCAAGTCTTCCAGTCGCCGGTCCTTCCGCTTGCGCATCCACAGTAGGATGAAGGCTAGCAGCACCATATCGATGGCTAGATGTTTCATGATAACCCATGTAAACCATCGTAGCCAGGCTGGGAAGCTTCGTGACTTTTTGGACTTCCACTCTCTGCCTGTTGTTATTTGCTCTCGTAATGCCGCGACCTCGGCGGACAGCTTCTCGAGTGCGCGCTCCACGCTGCGGGACCAGTTACTGCTAGGCACGAGCGCGTCCCCTTCGTCATCGTCGTCATAACCTATCCTTCCATCTGAGTTCCTTTCTGCCGCATCGTCCTCGCTCATGGGGCTGAGAACCTTCAGGGGGCCTTCGGATCCGGTCAGGGGTGGCTGGAACTGTCGTAATTCACCGGTGTAACCTGTGCCTTTCGGTGAGGAGTCGGTCGAGCTGGGGCTATTGTTCTTGATCTGATTCCATACGAACTCGAGTTCCGAGACTAGTTCTTTTGCGTCTCTGTGGTGACGAGTCAGTGGGCTGCGATTCGCAAAGAGCGGTTCCAGTGACAGTAGGGTAGGTATGCGGGCTTACGGTGTTGTCGCATATTTGTGCATCGTCTCGATCAATGCCTCGATATATCTCCTCTTCGCCTCCGTCCGGCTCAGACCTTTCTGGAGGTTCCATGCATCCCACTTGTCTTTCTCGCGTTGAAGCTCGTCGGCTGGCATGCCGGAAGCCGAGGTCGGCCGCTCCATGACGCCATCGACATCCCCCTCCATCGCTTGCTTGTAAAGGCCATAGAGTCGAAGTCTGTCGGACGGCGGGGGACGCGATGCCCCCGTTTTGGGGATTTTCTTGACCGTATTTAAGGCATGGACGAACACGCGATCTATAGAGAGAAGGCATAATCGCATAATTAGCCGGGGAATTGCTCTCTCCACAACGGGCGCAGAGTAAGGTTCTGCTTGCACTCACCCACGGAGTCAGCCATCTAGAAAGCCGTTTCTCGAGGCGACCGGACCGACGTGATTAGTTGGCAAAGGGAGGGAAGACGCGTTCGTTTAATGGGGGTATATCCGAGGTGTTCTGGGCGTCGGGGTTGGGTTCGGCTCAACAACACCAGGCGAAGATAGCAACTCAGATAACCTAGTTCCGCAAATCACCTGGATGTGCCGGTAGAGCGAGGTACCTTGGCAGCCGGAACTGAAACGGAATGGGGGAGCAACAGGTGCTGGGAAGAGGAGACAGTTAGAGATCCAGCACGCTGACATGCATTATGTGAGAGCTTCGCCATGAGACTCTTTCACTTCGTCGTCCAAAGAGAAAGAAGGGATCTGGTGGGTAGCAAGAAAGTAGCGGCGGCGATGGCGGGTGCTGGCATTGAGGCAAAGGTATTTCGGTACCGGCAATCAGCTGTCTCTAAATTGGGCCCTGGGGAGGGCCACTGGGGTTCGCGCCGATGTTAGCAGCATCGGAAGGGGTGGGCGATTTCCGGGAAATTCTGTTTGCCTCGGCCGCGGGTCACGCAACGCAATGCAGACGCAGCGAAGCCCGCGCAACCAACTACGACCCCAACCCAGCAGCAGCATCTGGGGGAGTTTAGAGTGGACGCGGGACCTGGGTGCGCGGGCCTGACGCGGGCTTGTCAGGGGTTTGTGCTTCTCCGAGATCCCGACTAGCAATTTACTCCCATCATCCCCGCGTCTTTTGTCCCTTTTGAGTGTGATTGAAGCTAGGTACCGGTAGCCTGCGGCATCTGCTTGTCGGCCGAGAGAGACATGTAGGCACGTGAAATGCGGGCAACCTTGGATGTGCGGGATGTTCCATTGTCTTTTGTTTTATTTTCGTCCTCAATTTAGAGTTCCGTCAATTGAGACTTCAGTATGTATAAGTTCTGAGCTGATATTGAGCCGAGGCCTATGGGTCCCAGTATAGCGGCTACGGAGGTCCATCGTTGTTCGGCATTGGGCAGCTAGCTGTTTACTCATCTCGGCTCCTAGGTTGAGCACCCACGCGGTTTGTATGGTTCATACTTCAGCGAACGTCCGAGTCGAGTTCATCTGGTATTTTTGATGTGCTCTATCGACCATCCTAATAACTCTTCCCAGCTGTGTACTCTCTGGCGTTAGCTTTTGGAGTAATTTCGTCACTCGGAGACCCAAATTTCTTCGTAGATGGTTATTGCTTCAATTGAAACTAGTATCATGGGTATAGTGCAACCGCCTCACTCTAACCTCGCCTATTTCTCCCCAAGAGCTGCCAGGAAAGCCTTCTTCTTATCCTGATACACCTTCAACAATTTCTTATTGTTAAGCGCCACTTGCGCTGCCTTTTGGCCCGCCTCCTTCTTATTCAAGTCGCTACCGGTTCCAAGGAGCTTATTTTTCTCGCCCCATCCGTCAAGGTACACTCCGACGCTGAAGAGGGCCAGCTTCTTGTTGTACTTGTCTTTCTTGTTCGCATTGGGTAAGTCTTCGTAGCGGATGGTGATGCCGTTCGCACCAATAGCCTGACTGAGAAGGACCTTCGGAGGCAGACTAGACTCTTCTGTCACCGTCGCGCCAAGTTCCTTGACTGTCTGCAACCCGGGCGTCTTGGCAACCGACCTGATCTGGTCCTTGATAGTCGATGCCCATAGTGTCCTGAGCCACTCTGCAACTCGAGCGAGACCGTTGATGGGATCAGAAAGAACCACAGCAGCGACGTATGCTTCAAACAAATCACCGCGAACCTTTTTGATTTCATGTGGTTTTGCCACAGCCGGCTGGGTACCTCTGGGCTTGAACTCGGACGGCAGATTCGCTCTTTCGAACAGTCCGTAGTGTGTTGAGTACTCTCCCAGGTTGGCATTGCGAATCAGAAGCTCTCGGATCTGCGAGCACTGGCCCGTTGACATCCCTCCGAAAGTTTGGAAAATGAGGGAAGACGAGATCAATTCGACATAGGCATCTCCAAGCCACTCAAGGCGGTCGTAACTTAAATCCGATTTGTGCTTGGCCACGCCTACATGGGTGAAGGCCGCCAACTCTAGGACAGGATTCGTGATTTTTGGCAGAGGCGGCATTGTCTTCGGAATATCGGCTGGCGTCCATGGCTTGACCAAGATGAAAGACGGTATTGGCGGTCCTGAGACCACTGGGCTTTGCCTTGGTGTCAATGGGGATTGGCCCTTCTCGTGTGATGCATTCTTCCCCTATTAAGTCAGCAAAAAGTTGACAACGTATGAAACGAAGCTCATGTCTTTACCTCATTCTCGTCAATCTCACCTCTATCGAGGGCTTCTGTCTTTCCTTCACTAGCCAACTGCTCAAAAGATGGCAATAACACCTTGCTAAGCTGCCGGATTTTTTGCAAGTCTTCGCGATGGATAGAAGATCTTGTCTTGGCCTGGGTAAGTGCCTGGAGACATTTGATAAGGTCATCGCCGTGATCGAGAAGCAAGTCTATTGCCTCGCTTTCGGCATGCCTTCGCTTGCTCGGTGGTAGCGTCCCTGAACTCGAGCGCTTGCTCATTTTGATTCTCCCTCGAGGCAAACAGATTGCAAGTTCTGGTCGAACGATACCACAAAATGTCGTGGTTGATGTTGTAAAATTGAAAAAATTGAAATGTGGTCGATAGGAATGAGAGTATTTCGTCGCAATATCGAAACTTACGTCTTATTCACCAGTGAGCATCTCAAGAAGCAACAAAAATTAAGCAGTCCAGGCTTGGGTGGAGCTCACTGTGCTTTCGCTGCAGGGATCAAGTCCGTTAGCCTGGGATGCGACAAGGACGTGGGTACGTACCGAGTGTTGCCGGCCAATCGATGATCCCAAGACCGCAACCAATTGCAGTGCGCAGCTCTCATTTTGCGGGTCCAATTCAGGACTCAGGTTCGCTCAAGCTAAGGTTGTTCGACTTCGCGACAAATTTCTGGCTGGTCTGATAGAGCTCAATCAAGACCTGCAAAGATGAGTGTCCCACGCGCGAGGTTGTTGGATCTCATGAAGGTAATTTCGCGACTCTCTGACCTGTCTGGTTTTTTGCTAACCTCTAAAGGCCCAATGCGAAGTCTTTGCGACAGTATTTAACCCGGAGGGAGTGAGGACGGGCAACAAGATCCTGCGCCAGCGATTGAAGGGACCTGCTATCGCCGACTACTACCCACGCAAGGTTGCGACCGTCAAGGATGTGCAGAGGGAGTTTGGTCCTCATGTCACAACTCTAGACTTGGAAGAGATGGACCGCTTGGAGCACATTGCCGGGTACGTCATGGGCTGAAGGGGGCGAAGGAGCTACTGCTAACGCCTAGACAGACTGAAGGCCAGAGGAAAGAGCGCGCCGAAAAAGAAGAAGACGAAGAGTAAGTCATCTCGTTTCTTGCCTCCAATTGGATGGTTACGCTGACCGTTCTACAGCCGAGCCCAAGAAGCGATAGACGTCGACCACGAGATCGATTGTACGATACGATGTGCATTCATAGAGCGATCCCCCGGAATCTTGCGCGCCAGGACACTCTCCACATATAGAGAGCGGCGAGACTTTGGGCAGTACAGTCGCCGACCGAGGCAGCCCATGTGGCTCTGTCACAGTATGCGGATGTCTAGGGACCCTCAGGCACAGGCACGGTATGAAAATACCGGGGATCACGGCTTCAGCGGGTCATGGGGAGGATGTCCATCAACATGGAGGGCAGCCAGTGTACAAATACCATGGAGGATATCAGAGTCAAAAATCATAAGTCTCTCCGAGAGACAGCCTTGTTTCATGTTTCAAATGACAACTCCCGTTTTATTGAATCCCAGCTAAATGATTGCCTTGGTCGGTAGGTGCTGAACGCCACTGCGTGCTACATGGAGCAATTCGCAAGTAAAAACACACAGCACTTCCTACTTCTCCAGTGCTAGGAACAACTCCGTCTGATCTCTGCGCTGGATCTGTGGATCTTCGTCTTACTGCTCTTGGCATATCTGGAGAAGCAAAGAAGTGCCATCGCAAAAGCTGAGTCTTTTCAAAGGGCTGATGAACAGATTCGGGCAAGGCAGCAGGGGCGGTATGCTTTCTCTTCAAGTTGAATGTCATCTGGTGATTAGACAACGCTATGGTAGGCAGTGGTGAATAATCAGAGGCCGGCTAGTCAGGCCCTCCTCCTTCAGGTGGAATATGGAGCGGGTCGACAGGTCTTCACATGTAGAAAGACTTGTACGGTACCTGCATAAACAAGTTGAACTTCCTCGTCCAAATCAGGAAGACCGTGCTAAATCTCAGCCGAGTCGCGAACTCCTTCCGACTTCAACACCCTCAGTAACAACCCTTCCCTCGCCAGGCCAAGCAGCAGCCCATCATTCCTCCTTCAACTCGGAACCAACTTCACGATCTTGACGCTTTCGGATTATTCTGTCCTGGCCCGCAGCAGCTTGGATTAGGCCCTTCGTACGCCTTACTTCCAAAAAGGTGCCTGTGCTGCCCGGGACTGCCTCCTTCCCAACACCAACTCGAGCTCCTTCCTCGTTCCTACCTCACCTTCCCGTCTCCCATTCTCTCCCCATTCCCACCACAAAAAGCTTTCCTCACCTTTCCCCTCCACAATTCCTCCACAAACAAACCTCCGCTGCAGAGAAGATCTTCATCAGCACTCTTCTTTGTGTCTCCCTCCCAAATAATCTTTCTCAACTTGTCTGCCACCTTACGGCATTACCTCTGTTTCTATCTTCTGCAAAGCATTGACCCTCTGAGAAGAGATTGTCCGACGTCACGATGTCTACACCTCCCTCC